CAAAGACATATGTTTCCTTCCTTGATCCTAGTTCCATTTTTTGACAAGGATTTGAATCCAGGAGGATGCTTTATAATAATAATACTAATCATTACTGCCAACATTAATATCTCCCCCACCACTGAGCACTTACTATATGACAGGCATTGGGCTGAGCTTTTCAATATGAAGGTTCTGCCTTAATTAGCCCTTTCAAGTACAGGTGAGAAACTGAGTTTCAGAGAGGTTTAACCCCATGTCACAGAACTGGGCATTCCACATGCTTTTAACCACTGTGCTGTTACTCCCCAAATTGACCAGTCACTGACTGATATTTTGTTCTTTTCTACTCTGCATGCTAGTGCCTGGGAAGAAGGCTCCCCCACTCACCAGCTGTTTGGCCTTAGGCACGTTGTATGCTTTATTTGTGCCTTGGGTTCCTCTTCTGTGAAATAGCGATAATAATTAGTACTTCATAGGGTTGTAACAAGGAACTGATGAGATATAAAAGCAGGCAGCACAGTACCAGGCACACAGCAGCATGTCCTCAATCAACTTAGCAACACCTACATTCTAATCACCCTTGGGTATAGACTCAGCGAATTGATTGTTGAGCTCTTAAATCACTTCTACTTTGCTTTGCTTCCCAAACTCTCTAAATCTGGCTGGGGAGATTGCTGCCTGGTTGCTGCAGAGGGTCCTGGCTAAGCTCATTGAAGGAACAGGGCTTTCCAGGAAGAAGGAACAGTGTGGAGAGAGCCATGGTGCATTTGGGAAATTGCAAGGAGCTCAGCACACCTAAGCACATCCCACTGTTGGTGATGAGGTATGGGCCTGGAGAGGTCACAGGGGGCCCCATCATGATGAGTCTTGTTTGCCAGGCTAAGAAGTCTGAACTGGGCCGGCCGAGTGGCGCATTGGTTAAGAACTGGCTTGGGACACCAGCTCTGACCAGCAGGGCCCCGGTTCAGATCCCACATGAGGGCCAGTGACTCTGTGCCCTCTACAGCTAAGATGGTGAACAACAGCTCGACCTGGAGCTGGGCTGCTGAGTTGCCGGCAACGGCGTAGGCTGCAGTGAGGCTGCAGTGGGCTGCCGTAGGCTGCCGTGAGTGGNGCAATGATAATACCAACATGGGCCAGTGAAGTGACATCCTCCACAACTAGACTGAAGAACAAAAGGACAGCAACTTGTCTGTTCCCCTTCCCCCGATTTCCCAGCGCTGTTCCCCTCCCTCAATTCCCCAATAAAATCTTTAAAAAGATAAATAAATAAAATAACATATATTCTGCTAAGTGATTTGAGTAACAATACATCAAAACACACTGCTTTTTTGCATATTTTTTAATTGGAAATATTTTCAATCTCTCCCATTGCTTCATTGTGTAAGGTGCAGAACTTGCAGGGTATGATCTCAGGGGAACTCCTGAGATTTCAGTGGCAGCAACTAGGACACGAAATACTTTTGTCACCTGTTCTACAGTTGCTAAAATAATGTCTGCCCTTGAGTCCATTAAATAAGAGAAATCAATTCTCTTCTGGCCACTCACTGAATTAGGGAAAACACATTTCTGCCACAAGAGGGAAAAAGAAACAGAACTTCTACTAAAATGATGCCCAAGAAAATAATTTCTTTTAACAGCAACTATTCCATCTTAACATTAGTCATCGGAAAGTACGTAACATACAATTAGTATATTATGTTCACTGAACGTTGCCTTAAAGAAGAAGTTAGGCCAAAACTAAGAAGAGCACCTGAAACAAAATAACCATTCAGTAATTTCTGTTTTTTTAATGAATGAATGCCAAAAACAATTTATAAATATGTTTAAATTGGATTGTATTTCCTAATAAACATATCAGAATCTTCCAAGAAAAGTAAAGTTCCAGGGCTTTTTTTCCTTGAAGGGTATTTTTTCTCATATAAACTTTGTATTTAACAGAGTTTATATAAAGAACAATTTCATCCTGTGGCAGAATATGTCTGGATATAGCAGTTGTCTTGGTTCTTCATGGTGAAATTATCAAACACATCAACAAAATATCAAGATCCAGTTTCCAAGAAAAGGAGACAGTCACAGCTACAGGTGCAAGTCAGGCTGCTGCAGAAGTCTGAACAACCACCCACCTGACCCATCAGTTGTGAAAGGTATTGTTAATTAGTATTGCATAGCATTTATGTTAATTTTTTACATGCACAGGAGCTTTACAAAAAAGAAGTGAAAACTCAAACTCAAACTTGTGTGTTAATCGTTAATTGTGTTAAGTGTTCATTGAGAACTTGCTAATTGCATAAATAACAACTCTTTCCTAATGGTCTAGTTTAAAATACAGTTTAGGATGCTAAACATGTTTACGGTTTATAAATACCTATTTGGGCCAAGCAAAGTCTGATTGGGCCAAACCCTGGAAAATGTAAATATACTTATCCTCCTTTTACTATATTGTCGTGGCCTTGTGCTCCTGACAGTTTTAATGGTGTCTGCTATTGAATCTTGGCAGATGCCATCGGGTGTTTCTCAGAATGTGGGCGGCCCTCCAATAATCTGCATCAGCACCCCCCAGGGGGTGCTGGTTAAAGTATGGGTTCCCAGGCCCCATCACAAACCTGCTGAATCCAAACTTCAGTTTAAGAAACACTGCACCTTCAGGGGTGCCTGCTCTGTCCTACTAGTGGTCTTCCCCTGGGTTTCACTTTTCCACAGGAAACAGAACATAAATCTCAAATTGTCTTTGCACTTGGACCCGTTCCCTTTGTTGATCTGATACAAGAATAGCTTTTTGTACTGCGACGGTGAGTTTGATGAATAGACCCCTTGTATTTTAGGAGAAGAAATGTAGTGCCTCCTTGCTCACCATCACTACTGGCCCTGGTAGCTCTGAGGATAAAACAGCTTGGATTTCACCCTGGAGTATTAACATTTCATAGAGCACATAAAGCCTCTTGAAAGTCAAGATGAGGCAGAGCGAAGCATGCACTGGGCTCTCTGTGTGGTTGGTTTTTTGTCTTTGGCCATTTGTCAGGCACAGCAGCTGAAGCTGCTGAATTGGATGAGGTAGTAACATTCAAGAGTGGAACCAGCTGCGAGAGACTTCCCTGGAGGGTGGAGCAAAGGCTGCTAACCCATCTCCTTATTACCCTGTCACAATTATAACTGGGATTGTAGGAGAGGGAACATGTATCCTCTATCCTCTTATGTTCAGTACGTGGGGACCTGCAAATTAAACTGACCAAAACAGATTAGTAGGAGAAAAGGGCATACGATTTTCTTGATGTTACATTTTTACATGCACAGGAGGTTCACTAAAAAGAAGTGAAAACTCAAAGAAGCCACAGACTTGGGGGCTTATATATACCATTTTAATAAAGGGCAATAAATTGAGGGGAAGTGAAGAGACCAAGGAAAGGGGATTTGGACTTCTCAGGGTGATAAATTGTGGGAAAGTGACTAAGAAGTATGGGGAAACTAATGGAAGATGAGGGTTGTTTTAGTAAGGTCTGTTTATGCAGACTCATATTGGTGTGACCTGCCCCCTCCCCATCTCTAATGACAAGAGTCAGTGTCCTCTTCCTGGTACAGAGGGGTATCTTCCTCAAAGAAAAATGGATGCCCTGCTTTTAGGCAGAGGAGGGGAGAGCAAAGAGCTTTTCCTACACCTGCTATTTCTCAGTTACCTTCAGCTCAAAATAATCCTTATGTCAAGGTGACATATTTTGGCGTGGCATATGCTGATCGCCTTTAGGACCATCAGTACATCCAGCTGGGGAGAAGCTGAACAGGGGCTGGCACAGCAGGATGAGTTCAGGCAGTTACTTTGAGTTCTAACAGCAACCCCTGTGAAGAACAATTGGCCTGGGCCCTGGTGAGGCTGTTCTCCCCATTGCAGCAGAATTGCGGTGGACTAATCTGAAAGCAGTGCTTGGACCCGGGAGGAACGATAGGAGCAGGACTGAGGTACCCACAGGTAGAACAGCTCTGCAGGAAGATAGAATCTTCAATGGTGAAAACCAACCTTCATTGTCCAAAAGATTTAAATGAAATAATAAGTAACTTTTAAAAGTTTTGTGAAATATTCCATATCTTCAAATAAGCCTCATACTATGAATAATAAATAACAAATGGGGTCCTGAATTCAAAAGAACCCAAACTAAACAAGAATCCAAACTCACGGAAATCGTTATGTTCCACCAGAGGGCACTGTGGGAACAATCTCGTAACTAGTTTATAAAAAGACTAGCGAGAGCCGAGGGAGTTTGTGATTCATTTATACATTTGTGATTAGAACTGCTTTAAGCAGAAACAACAATGAAATACCAGTCTTACCATAGGGGTTTATAACACAACTACTCAGGCAA